GGTATCCGGATTAAGGTAGGAATACGTAGCACGACACAATTCGAAGCTTTGAGGTGATTCATCCCCGTGGTATTAAAGTCGGCTATTCTTTTCTCACTCTAACAACTGAAGTAAACACGCCTTTGGCCCCGTAGGACGACAGCATCATTGCAAACATCCATGACACCAAAGCCTGCGCCCCATAAAGAATCGGGTTTGTTGCTGCGCAACTTGATCCGCATCCAATCACCAGGATATACACATCTTAGTACTCAGCCTCAAGACCCTCCTCACCCTCAAGGGAATCGGCAGCAACCTCCTCGTAATCGCGCTCCAGAGCAGCGAGATCCTCACGAGCCTCGGAGAACTCACCCTCCTCCATACCCTCACCAACATACCAGTGAACGAAGGCACGCTTGGAGTACATGAGATCGAACTTGGTTGACAGGGCGGACCAGGCCTCGGCAATGGCAGTGGTGTTGGAAAGCATGCACCTGAGATGACTGTCAGCGACATACATTCTTACTCTTGAACGATCATGGCAGAACTTACACAGCACGGCTGACCTTGGCGAGGTCACCGTTAGGCACCATCTGGGGAGCCTGGTAGCAAATACCAAGCTTGAAGCCAGTAGGGCACCAATCAACGAACTGGATGGTACGCTTGGTCTTAAGGGTGGCAACAGCGGCGTGGGCATCGTTGGGAACGACGTCACCGCGGTACAGCAAGCAAGTAGCCATGTACTTGCCGTGGCGGGGGTCACACTTGACCATCTGGTTGTTGGGCTCGAAGCAAGACATGGTCATCTCTTGGACAGAGTTGGCCTCGTGAGCGGCCTTGGCGGCCGAGATCATGGGCGCGTAGGCGACCAGAGGGAAGTGAATGCGAGGGTAGGGGACCAAGTTGGTCTGGAACTCGTTCAGATCGACGTTGAGGGAGCCGTCGAAGCGGAGGGAGGCGGTGATGGAGGAAACGACTGCGAGTCACTAGTCAGTATCCCACGTTTCTGGCGAGAAGCGTTCCATTGTTCTTGTCATTGTTAAACTTACCTTGCGCGATGAGACGGTTGAGGTTCTCGTAGTTAGGGCGCTCGAGACCCAGGTTGCGACGGCAGATGTCGTAAATGGCCTCGTTGTCGACCATGAAGGAGCAGTCAGAGTGCTCGAGGGTAGTGTGGGTAGTGAGGATAGAGTTGTACGGCTCAACGACAGAGGTGGCGGTCTGGGGGGCGGGGTAGACACAGAATTCGAGCTTGCTCTTCTTTCCGTAGTCGACAGAGAGCCGCTCCATGAGGAGAGCGCCGAAACCAGAGCCAGTGCCACCACCGAATGAGTGGAAGACGAGGAAGCCCTGAAGACCAACGCAGTTGTCGGCAACGCGGCGGACCTTGTCGAGAACCTGGTCGATGAGCTCCTTGCCAACGGTGTAGTGGCCACGAGCGTAGTTGTTGGAGGCGTCCTCCTTGCCAGTGATCATGTGCTCGGGGTGGAAGAGACCGCGGTAGGGACCAGTGCGGACCTCGTCGACGACATTGGGCTCAAGATCGCAGTAGATAGCACGGGGGACGTACTTGCCCTGGCCTAGACATATCCCGTTTGATCAGTACAGTACTCGGTAAATGATTCGGAGGTCTATCAGGTCAATATCGTACCAGTCTCGGAGAAGAAAGTGCTGAAGCCATGGTCGGGGTCGGCCGCCTTACGCTCCTCGGTCAAGTATCCATCGGGCTGGTGGGAGTTGCACGTTAGCATCCTGAAAGGAATGAAAACAAGACGTAATGGAAGCTTACCTGGATACCGTGCTCGAGGCAGTAAAGCTATAGGACGTTGACGATTAGTTTGTTTCCTTGGAGTTGGCGGTGCCAGATTTGTTGTCTTGGAGTTTCGCTTTGGCAAGTCGTTTTCAACAGTCGACTCGGCGATATGGGGATATCGAACAAACACGAGAAACATACCTCCCAGCAGGAGTTGGCGATCTGGCAACCGGCCTGACCGACTAAAGGAACAAGTTAGCAAGTGTTCAAAGACAAAAGACCAAACAGCCGTTGTGGTATGCGATTGCCGCATGCGCATCTGGTAGCTGGGGGTGAGGATGCGGTGAAGGCGGACGCGTGGGGTCGGGGGATCAAAACAAAAGTCGGATCTGCTTACCGTTGATGCTGATGACCTCACGCATATTGGCGGCAAGTTGTATGAGGGTATAGACAAGCGACTGAAAGAGGAGAGCAAAGAAGCAGGACTCGAGGAGGTGAGGAGCAAGCAAAAAATGTCGTCTTTGCAGCTATCACGAGAAGATGTCGGACAGGAGGTTGAAAAGGTTAGGTTAGGCCTGGCAAGTGCAAGGGGAAGGAATAATAGGTGCTGGGCTCGTGCTTGTGGTCTTTTCGGTGGTGCAGTGGACTGCCAACTGATGGTGCTTGCTGGCAGGACCGGGGCGCGGAGACCTTGGGACGTAAGGTGAGGTGGGACGTGGGACGTGGGACCGGGTTCCTCAGGTGGTCGAAAAATCGGGGTGGGGTAGGAAATTTGGTGCGCCAGGGGCCGTGCAGCGAGTCCAGCGAAGTTTTGTTGATATGAACGGGCCAAAAGTGGTAAGCGCGTCTGCCCACGGTCTGTTGTCGTTGGCGATTCCGTCCAATGGCAGGAGCGCACGACGGGAGGCACCGGGGATGTCTTATTGGCCCCCTGGATGGGGGACTCGGCAGGTACAGGACAGCCTTGGGTACGTATCTCGGAACCTGGCACGCTGGGAAACATTGGAGAAATCGCTCTGCGGGCTAATCTGCCATTGGCAGGCAAGGTTCACCGCACTTCGCTGCTTGCCTACTAGGAAAGTTGCCTTAGGTACCTCCTTACCTTAAGGTAAGCATCTCAGGTCCCTGCTGTCGTTCCTCGTCTAGAGTGACAGCTCGCGTAGTGCAGGAGGTCAAGGAACTCCCGCAACCCTTTCCACCATGAAAACAGTGTAAATTTAGCATGCATTTACTAACACATAGTATAATACGAGAAACGTTCAAGCCGGATTGATCCAATCTTTCTTTCCCAAGACGTGTTCCACGACGGTTAGAAATGGAGACACCAGCCAGGCCTTCCTGCATTCATGTATGGATACCTAAGCTCTTGGGCAACTAAAGATCGAATCGTTGAAGAAACAGTCTCGAGACGTCCATCCTGCGAAACACAGAATTGATGTATCTGCAGACGAGAGTATAGGCTAGATGAGGATATTCTTCTGCTGTTTGGCTCTGAGATGACCTTTCAACAGCCTTCAAGTCTCAGATGCAAGCTCAGGCAGACAACGGCCGTTGGCTGAACCCTAAACACAAGAGTCCCCTTCCTCCGGAGCCCGTATCCGTACCCAAGGGAAAGTGAATTAGTAAGGCGGGTTCCGCATCTCACCAGGCTCCAGGAATCCTCAATCGCCGAGTGGACACAGGACCCATCGGCGAACCGTGGTGGCGGTAATAAAGCAGCAGCCTACCGTTGTGTCAAAATGGAATTCGATAAAGACGTTTATTGTTTCATGTGGAGGGAAAGTAGAAGCCTAAGATCTAAGACAGGAGAAGGCAGAAGAGAGAAGGGGAAGGGGGGGGGGGGCAAAGCCACCTTGAGAGAAGATTGCTAGCAGCCTGCAAAGCAATGGTTAGGTAGGGTTGAAGAATGGCAGACCAATCCTCTCAAATGTCCCAGTCCAGATCGAAACGTGCCAGTCCCGTCATCCTCCACTCCACCCCTGTCTCACACTCGGCTCGCCGAGTAATCCCTACCTATCAAACAGCTTCACTCAACTACATCGCTGATCACCATATTGTTCACCACCACCGCACCTCATCACAACAAAAGTAGTCCAGGCAGCCGATTAACTCCTCAAGGCTTCCGAATATCTTACAACCGGAACTTGCTGCCTCGTCGATACCTAGCCAACAGACAACTATGCGGCTAGCCTTCGCCGTTAGCCTCGCCCTGGCCTGCTGCCTCAATGTTGTTCGGGCCAATACCGAAAAGGTTATCTTTCTCGGGCCCGAGACGGTCAATGTTCCAGTCACTCCACCAACAATTCAAGACCTTCGTTTAGACGTCCTCACGCCCGATGATTGGTCCAAACGGGTTCAACTGCCAGCGTCATTTCCAACCTCGGAGTCTCCTCTGGGCACGACGTCCTGGCTGCTGCTCCCCAACTTGACCCAAGGTCAGCGCTATGAACTTCGAGTTTGTTGGTCGGCCACGGTACGTTGTTTGGTGAACCCATTTATTATCTGGCATTGAAGTCTTATTATATACAGCAACCCACTGCTTTCACGCTCGATGTCTTTGAGCTGCCCGTCGTGTGGGATACTCCGGAGCTCATCTCATCATTGGCAACTTACGCATTCTCGCGTCAGTCTAATCAGGACGATGTCGGCGCGCACCAAGCCTTGCAAAGCAGAGGACGGGAGCACCAGAGTTCGTTGCTGTTTCTTCGGGTTTCGGCCTCGGCGGACTATTTCACAGACAATGACACACTCATGGCCAAAGTCGAGCCCGTCAGCGTTGACCTGATCCTCGACCCGTTCTTGTTTAATGTTTTGCCACGATCCTTGGTGCCTACCGTCGCTTACATCGTACTCGTGGCGCTTTCAGCTTGGTTCCTATCTAAACGCATTCTCGCTTGGATTCAACCGGTGCTCGCCAATGAAGGCCGGTCCACGGAAAAGAAGAAGAGACTCTGAGCACGTAATTAATGCAACGCGTCGCCTTCTCCATGCATTCATCTCTTGCTCAAAACGAAAGGACCTCTAACGACAGGAATTCCATTGGGTACCAAAAGCCCTCGCGTCTCGCTTCAAATAATATCCAAGGCTCGTCGCACATCTCCCATCGTCAAGCAGTAAGATTTGCAAAGGAGGGGATAAAGACCGCTTTACTTGCCAAATTGGCATCCCCCCCTGCGTCATTCATACGCATATCTTACGAGGGAAAACGAACGGCTAGGTGCAATAATCCATGAGTACTGTTGGCGTCGAAAGCCACACCAAGTCTCACTCAGCTACGGGAGCACTCTTTGAATATATGCCTTTTCATAGACATCTAGTAATGGTTGCCATAGCTGGGTTGTTGAGAAGGCTGGCCGCCGTACGAAGGTTGGCTGGGATAGCCCCCTCCAGTCTGAGGACCCTGTGGACCGTTGCTATAGGTGGCAGGGTTATATCCTCCGTATTGTTGTTGCTGCTGGTTGTGCTGCTGGTTGTGCTGCTGGTTGTGCTGCTGGTTTGGCTGGGCACCGTAGCTGGGCTGCTGACCATACGAAGGGGCACCACTGGAGGGGGGAGGTGGGTAGGACTGGGCGTGGGATTGTTGAGACGGCGCGCCGTAGGAGTTGTTGTGATGAGGTTGGCCTTGGTTTGGCGGAGGGGGGTACTGATTAGGAGGTGGAGCATATGATTGCTGCGAATGGTTCTGGCCCTGGTTCGGCGCGGGAGAGTGGTATGAACCTCCCACTGGAGTAGATGAATGCTGGTTATGCGAAGACGAACCAGGTGGCTGGTAAGAAGTGGGAGGAGCCTGGCCGGTGTAGCCTCCGCCTCCGCCGCCTCCAGAGGCATTGTTGGAGTATCCGAAATCATTGTTTCCCTAGATGCTCAAGTCAGTCATGCGCCTGGCAACCGATTGTGTACTTGACGTACGCCGTGACTCTGTTTGTTTCCGCCAAACATGGTGGCAACACCACCCATCAGAGATCCAGCCAGACCACCTTGTTGTTGATGACCCGAGGACTGGCCGCCATGGTAATTTTGCGACTGGCCCTGCTGAGACTGCTTTCCGCTCGAGAGCAGGCTCGAAGCTAGAGAGCTACCAATCTTGCCCAGTGAACTCTTGCCGCCCCCGCTGCTACTCCCGTGACTGTTACCGTGCCCACCGATACCGTTCATCAATTGACTGGCAATGCCACCGAAGGGGCTTGAGCTGCTCTGGTTGCCGGAAGAGGAGCCGTGATTCGAGTTCTTGCCGCTGCCAAGAAGCGCATTCATGGCCATGCTCTGGGAGGGGGCACAAGTCAGTAATGGTAATGGAATGCAAAGCAGGAACAAAGCAGCGTGCGGGAAACGGGCGGGTAGAATATAGGGAGAGGGAGAAAAGGTCGTATGAAACGTACGCCGAGTCCGCGATCGCCTGTCTGGCCGTCGATGCCCCTCGTACTGGTGGTGTCGGGAGGCATGGAGGGGTTGACGGGTTCGAGGGTGCCATCGGCGTGCTTCACCGTCTGGCTGCCGTCAGGATGGGTGATGACCTCGGGTTGAGGAACACCATAGGGGTGCTCGGAAGGTTGAGCAGGTGTCGCGCCGGTGGGCGCGGCATCAGTAGGGGTTTCCCATTGCGAGACACCCGTGGAAAGCTGCACGAAGTAGTACTTCTTGCTCGCACCATCCCACTGGGCAATCCAACCAGCAGGAAGATGGGGCGGGGCATACGTGGGGCCTTCAGCGCCCGGTGAGGTTGGCCCTGCCATAGAGGAGAGTACAGAGGTCGACGTCGAGTCGGTATGAGGCGCAAAAGAGAGGCCAGAGGGCGGCGGGTATGATGCTACGGCTGGAGGGGATCGCCAACAGCGGACGTGTGGTGTGGACAGAGACGAAAAGTGGCGGGGAAAGACGACGGTGCGGTAAGGTATTGATGAATCCAAGGTAGGTAAGTCAAGGTCTGGATGGATACTGTACGTCTGCGGTTAGGTGGTGGGCGTATCGGCACTAACACAGGTAGGTGGGTGGCCCCAGTGTACAGGCAGTGCAGACAGACTGGATCACAGCCCAGAGGGCAACCCGGGTTTAGGAGCCCAGGGTTTTATAAGGTAAAGTTCTGTTGCCAGAAGGGACAGAAGGGGGGGTCCATCCATTCATTGGTGCTGCGCTCTGACTGACTACCTCTTTACCCATTTCCCACAAAGAAGCCCGGGCGATATATTCAGCCACCACATGGACTGACACAGGCACAGACAAGACTCGAGTTTGTCGTGAGAGGGCAAGAGCACGACAGCTGCTTCAGGGCTTGCTTGGCCAGGGTAGATGACTACCTCATCTCAACGGAAGGTGGGTAATAACATGCCTTTGGTAACTGGTTTGCGGTTAACACTGAGGGGTTATGGTAATGATAACCCGGAAGATGTCGAAGATGACGGCAAGGAAGTTATCCCTATCTAGGGTAAGGTTCCTCACGGTTAGTACTAAAGACACCTTACCTACCGTCAAATCTGAATAGACTTCTTTCCATCTTCAGTGTCATTTGCAACAAGGTAGCCAAGAACTAGACATGACCAGCATTGGGCGGCGAAAGGGCACTGCCAGAAGTTGGACAGTTAGAACTGAAATGAACCTAACTGCCCAGGTCCGCTCTGGTTAGGTACTTGGGTTGGGCGCTGGTGGAGTCGGGTTTGGCTGGGGCGTGGCAAAGCGACTGCGATTGCGACCGTCTGTGACGGGGCACCTCAGGTTCTAGATTCCTTTCCGTATCTTCCATACCTAATGATATCAGGGTTTACAATGGACGTGGAAAGAGCCCAAGGGACACAGCAAATGATTTACAGCCTACCTGACAAGATACTGCTGGATTGCGCTTTGCTGATGGCCAGACACAGCCTCAGCAGAGTTGCTGAACGTTGATGCTTAGGCTTCCTTCGTCCTGGATGTATCCGACCAAGCCACAGTCCACGCATCTGTGGTGAGATGTTAAGGTACCGAGGTGGGCGGCCTCTGAAGCTTGGTTCTCGACGCAGCTGCCCACCTAAATTAGCCCGGGCAGTTCGAGTCCAGGCTAGGCCAGGTCTGTAATTTCAGCCCACCAGCCACATGTGGCCTCTACTGAGAGTGGCTGGAGGGCCGTCCATCACAGACCGAAGAAATCCCGGCCGTCAACATCATATGTATGGAACTTGACTCTACGGAGACTCGGAGCACCTTTTCTATTATCAAGGACGAATCAGATACAATGGCGGACTATCTGTGGCGACAGAAATTGAAACCTGGAGAGAGTTCCCGCTCAGTCAAGAAACAATAAATGCAGGTCTGCAAATACTCACGAAAAACAACTTTGGTGGCTACGATGTGGGCAAGCGGGGACTCATTGCCTGTGTCCTCGATGGTTACTGAAGATGTAGGCGTTGGAATAAGGAAACGATGCAGCAGCACGACGTAAGTACGTCGAACTCACAGTGTCAATGCATCGTCGCTCGTCGACTAAGGCGTCGTCCAAATCATCCAGCACCGCCAACTCGAAAGCTCTCGGGGATCATCGTCCCTGCATCATATTCGCCAAAAAGGCTTGGTGGGGAGTCGGATGAGATCTCAATGTCCACGTCCTTCCAGGCGCGGGGAAGTGTCGTCCATATGCTTTCGATATGCACAAAGAGGGCAGTCTACTGCCCCGGCGTCATCTACGATATAATTACTTGCCAAGGCTTTACCAATCCCTCGTCTCCGGTCGTTACCAACATCTCTTCGCTCCCCTTCCTCTGCGAACCTGCGTCATATCGTTTGCACCATGTAATGTGGTTGATCTCGTACGGGCCGTGGGCGTTGGGCACCTCTGCCGCAACGCGCCACTTGCTTGATCCCACAGGCACATCATCTGGCTTTCCACCCTCGATGCCTTCATCTGTCTCCATCGGTACGACATCCCTGGCATCATTTGCCTTGCCTTCCTCGCTCTCGCCCTCCTGGTACACCACGATGGTGCTGTCGCTCCCCGTACTGGCCACCAGTCCCGTCGTCGCGCTCCAAGTCGCCGAGTAAATATCGCGCGTGTGTGTCTTGGGCAGAATCGCCGTGCACACCCATTCTTCGCGCAACGATCTCCGCATGGTATTGGGAATGCCTCCCAGCCCACCGCCGAAGCCTCCACGGCCACCCGCCTCGTTCTCCTCGTCCTCAACTTGCAGCGTCCATATCCGTAATGTTTGGTCGGCCGAGTAGCTGAGCAATCTTGGGAAGGCGCCGTCTTCTCTCGGTTTCTCCTCCCATTGCACACCCCATACGGTGCCCTCGTGGCCCTCCAGCACCGACACGCAGACCCATTCACCGTCACCATCTTCGCGCCATATGCGCACAGTGTTATCGTAGCTGCTGCTTGCGAGGACGTCGGCGCTGTATCTCCTCCGCGAGTTACGTCCCGGCACGTCAGGGCACCACGCGATACCCTTCATATCACCGTTGTGCTCATTCAGCACGGCGACCGTCTCCCACTCGTCATCCCCCTCGGTGGCGCCCACATCCTCCCATATCCATACCGTTTGGTCTCTACTGCACGTGGCGAGATATGCGCCGGACGGCGCAAAGGATACGCCCTTGATCTCTGAGTCGTGGCCCTCGAGTACGAGAGTAAACTCCCAGTCCTTCTCGCCATCGCTATCCGCATCGTCGAGGGAGCGGCGCGCCGCCTTGCTCAGGTCGATTTCGAGAGGTTCTTCGGCGTTGGCGCCGTCGCCGGAAAATGGGAGTTCGCCGTCCCAGCGCCAGAGTCCGGCGGTGGAATCAAAACTACCGGTGACGAGGCACAGCTGGTGAGGAGAGAGGTTGGGTTTCCAAGCTACTGAACGGATGGAGCGAGTGTGGCCACCGGTCAGGGTGCTGTGGGAGGAAAGAGACGCAAGCGAGAATATCTTGACTGATTTGGAATACGCCGTCGCAATGAGCGGCAGCGTGGGGTGAGGTACAGAGCACCAGGCACGCTCGTAGAGATCGGGTGTGAAGGGCGTGAGAGGGAGGACCTGGACCGCCGTTTTCGGCGCCTCTACCGACGGACTCATTTCGAGGGCGGGGTTGTTGTGAGAGGAAAGTCTTGATGGTGGTTGAAAAGTATGCGCTTCAAATGCAATTCGTAGATGGAAAGACTGTTGGATTTCGAAAGATAGTGTCAGGATCTTGTGATAGGCCGGCACATTGAGATACCACCTATCTGGAGGTGCAATTGCTCGGTAGCGGGCCGTTGAGTATGGGCAAATTACAAGAGTCAAATGTTATGGTGCACGATTATCAACCAATATCAGTAGAGAGATATGGCCCTGATGCTGAGTGATGCAATCAATACCCCTCCACACCCCCGGCGGATTTTTTCACAGTGGACGGCGGGCAGGGAGTGACTGGGTGTAGTGTGCCCCGCGTTGGACAAGCCCGCCCAGGCGACAGAGGTTCGGGCAATCGTTGTTCCTACCAGGCACTGGACCTCATAGCCCCGCCGCTTCCTGTCCCGCCTCCACTACGGATTCATACTGTGTGACAGGAAGTAGGTGCTCCGTCCGTACCCTAGGTACCTACCTCCTAAATGTGGTAAGGTAAGAATGGAAACCGAACGCCCCCACTGTCTGCGGACCCGGCCTTCGGACCCATCTGTCGGACCCACGTGCGCGCATCCCGGGACGTTTCCGTCATTCCATTGTGGCCCTCTGTCGCTTTGTAACTCTGGGGATGGAATTAAGTCCGCTGATAGCTCCATGATCAATTTGTCGCCGAACTCCTCACAGCAGTCACTCTGATTGACACTCTCAGCGCTTCCAAGCCAAGGTAGCTTAGACATTAGGTACTGACCCGAAGCTCGCTGCTTCATCGGACCCAACCAATCTCAATGGCTTTGTTGTAGGACCAGGGGCGGTCTCAGACCGATAACACTGAGACCAGTAGCACACAGAGAACGAGTAGATGAGCCATGTCAGGCAAGCAGTCCGATTATCATTGGCCATTCTTCCTTCTGCAGGGCAGCGAATGAGTCCCACATGTCAAGACAGGTGAGAAATAAGCTTCTGCACATCCTGCAACTAGAATCTCAAGGTTCCCACTGTGGTCAAGCAGCGATACTGACTTCGAAACACCTTTTGGAGATGATCAATAAGCCTAGATTCTGCTGTCTGGCTGCATCCTTCTCTGGTCTATTGTAGAAGAAAAGGAGAGACCAGAGGGGATATCCAGCTTTATGGAAGCCTTGGAAGGTACCTCGTGGAGAGCACACATGTCTCAAACCTCGGCTCTCAACATCTAGGTAGACTCACGAGCGACTCAGGACGCCCACCGTTGGACTACATGAGTCGTGGTGGGTAGGATATTTTCCTGAGCAGCGCAAGACAACCAGTCGATCGCTATTGTTCTATATGTCAAAGAGAAGCGGCCCGTTGTACTGACAAAGACATCAACCCCTAGTCCTGAAGTTGGCGTGTGGACTGATCAAACATCAGGCCATGTAGAGGAACTATGTAGTGAGCTAGACTTCAGCCAGCCAAACGTCAGAAAAGATGACATCTAGATTGTAAACGGAAAAGAGAACCCGGGTTCTAATTCTTTCCCCGCCAAACGTATAGAACCGGCGCACCGACTCGTCCGTGTTGCTTTCTCTGGTCAGCTGTCGTCCGGTGTGGTGAAAGGGGCACACTCCAACTTGAGCTCGTCCGACTGACGATCGTTGAGACGGCCGCGGCATCCGGTGCCGTTGAGAATTCTGCGCGCCCCCCATCGACTGTTGCCAGCTTCGCACCATTCTGTCGCTAGCTCAGGGGACAGACTCTCGGACGAACACACCTTTTCTTGACGAGTCGGATCCGATGGCTAGCGGAACACTACAATGCCTC